ACTGAAAACCATCCACATGGTATCCTTGTGGCCTTGTAATATTTTTAATTAAATAAATTTTGACGTATTTTATTTTAAAAAGTGTAATGTTTCTAAAGTATTAGGTTGGACGTTTTAAAAAATCACATCACTTTCTAGTTTCATCATTATCTCAACTATGGATTTATGGCTTTAAAAAATACTGAAGATCAATGTGAACCACTAAGCATTCCATCTAAGTCTCTGTATCACCTGATTGTGAAAGAAATCAACTAGAAAACCTATCAGATTGCAGAAGGAATACATCACAGGTTTATGGTGGCTTTATGCTTTTAAAGTCACTTCACATATATTTTTTCATGTGAATAGTCAACACAGTCACAGATAGGAATTGAAGAATGGTAATTTTTGAATAATATTCAAGGAAAGGTAAATTCTGGGCATAACATGAAGCTGTTAAATTTCTTCTTCAGTTGACAGTAGCAATTACCAGTTCTTTATTTGAGTCTTTCTTTTCTTTAACTGGCAATAACTTGTAGAAGCACTTCAACTAATAGTGACAGATGCGTGTCCAGAAGTTGTCAGCCAGTCTACTGACTGTTACTCAGTTCACTAGAACCAGTGCAACTAGGGGGGAAAAAGTCTACCAGCAAACCTAGCTGGTGCCCACAGATATCAGAAGAGTGTAGTAGTTCAGAAAGGCTCCTGAGAAAGATGAGGTCTTGTGCTCATCCTGAGCTTACCAGGCAGGACTTTGCAGAAATACGTAGTCCCTATCGACTAGATATTATTCATGATGATGATGGTGCTGCTGCTGCTGATGATGATGAAGAAGAAGAAATAGCTAACATGCATATTCAGCTTGCTATGAACCAGGCAAGTACTGTTCTAAATGCATTCTGTGTATTCACTGTATCCTACCAGCAATCAAGGAGGTAGCTCCTATCTGCATTTTACATTTGAGGAACTAGAGGCACAAAGAGGTTAAATAATTTGGCAAAGATCCCAGTTCTAGTAACTGTAACACAGCTTCAATTCATGGTGTCTGGAGAGCTATCATTGTACTCACACAGATGTTCACCACTTGTCTTCATTAGCTTTTTCTCCTTTTGATTTCGTTTTTAGAGATGGGAGTCACACTGTATTGCCTAGGCTGTCCTTGAACTCCTGAGCTCAAACAATCCACTCGCCTCGGCCTCCCAGAGTGCTAGGATTACAGGCGTGAGCCACCGCGCCCGGCCAGAAAATATTTTTTAAACTCTGTTTTTTCAGTCTACCCTAATGATTTATGGTCTTTGGTTTTCTTCAAATTAGAGAAGTTAGTTTCCAATGTAGCCTTTGACTTTTTTGTGACATTGACCTAGGCCAAAGACAAGTTTCATTTTGTCTTCATAAACTACATGTCAAGACAGTTTATCTTAGCAAGCCATTTTGTTTTTGATTCTCTAGTTGTCTGAGGGAAGCCAAAAGCATGCAAACCTGCAGAAAAGCATTGAAAAAGCTAAAATTGGTCGACATGAGACGGTAAGTTTGTGTCTATAGATTCATTAACAATGGCAATTCTAAACAGAAGAGTAAGGACACAGAGCTTCCTATGAGGAAGGTGCCATTCCTACCAGAAGAAAAAGGATCATAGCAAAGAACATGAACATTTGACCTGGTAGAGATCACTAATTGTGAAGCTAGATTTATTGTTGTTATTGTTATTATTATTGCATATGGCAGCAATAGCATAGAAGCATACACCCTAGAGCCAGACTGCCTGGGTTTGAAAGTCTGCTAAATTCTGTGATTTTCTCAGTTGTAAAATCAGGAATAATAAAATTTACTTAATAGGGTTACTGTGCCAATTAAACTAGTTAATATTTGCAAAGCACTTAGAAGAAGACTTGGTACATGGTAAGCCTATATAAATGTTTACATACATTTTTGAGTCTTTATTTTTTTAAATTTTGGCACAGAACAAACTGAAAACCATCCACATGGTATCCTTGTGGCCTTGTAATATTTTTAATTAAATAAATTTTGACGTATTTTATTTTAAAAAGTGTAATGTTTCTAAAGTATTAGGTTGGACGTTTTAAAAAATCACATCACTTTCTAGTTTCATCATTATCTCAACTATGGATTTATGGCTTTAAAAAATACTGAAGATCAATGTGAACCACTAAGCATTCCATCTAAGTCTCTGTATCACCTGATTGTGAAAGAAATCAACTAGAAAACCTATCAGATTGCAGAAGGAATACATCACAGGTTTATGGTGGCTTTATGCTTTTAAAGTCACTTCACATATATTTTTTCATGTGAATAGTCAACACAGTCACAGATAGGAATTGAAGAATGGTAATTTTTGAATAATATTCAAGGAAAGGTAAATTCTGGGCATAACATGAAGCTGTTAAATTTCTTCTTCAGTTGACAGTAGCAATTACCAGTTCTTTATTTGAGTCTTTCTTTTCTTTAACTGGCAATAACTTGTAGAAGCACTTCAACTAATAGTGACAGATGCGTGTCCAGAAGTTGTCAGCCAGTCTACTGACTGTTACTCAGTTCACTAGAACCAGTGCAACTAGGGGGGAAAAAGTCTACCAGCAAACCTAGCTGGTGCCCACAGATACCAGAAGAGTGTAGTAGTTCAGAAAGCTCCTGAGAAAGATGAGGTCTTGTGCTCATCCTGAGCTTACCAGGCAGGACTTTGCAGAAATACGTAGTCCCTATCGACTAGATATTATTCATGATGATGATGGTGCTGCTGCTGCTGATGATGATGAAGAAGAAGAAATAGCTAACATGCATATTCAGCTTGCTATGAACCAGGCAAGTACTGTTCTAAATGCATTCTGTGTATTCACTGTATCCTACCAGCAATCAAGGAGGTAGCTCCTATCTGCATTTTACATTTGAGGAACTAGAGGCACAAAGAGGTTAAATAATTTGGCAAAGATCCCAGTTCTAGTAACTGTAACACAGCTTCAATTCATGGTGTCTGGAGAGCTATCATTGTACTCACACAGATGTTCACCACTTGTCTTCATTAGCTTTTTCTCCTTTTGATTTCGTTTTTAGAGATGGGAGTCACACTGTATTGCCTAGGCTGTCCTTGAACTCCTGAGCTCAAGTGGTCCTCCTGCCTCAACCTCCCAAGTAGCTGGAAATATAGGCATGAGCCACCATGCCCAGCTTCAGTTTTCCTTTTGAAGCATGTAAAATTTGGGTGTAGATGGCAAATAATGACCATCTTGTTATGTTCTAGTGATTTTTAAATTTCTCCTGAGCTGTGCTAATATGATGTACACTAACCATATGCAGCTATTTATATTTAAATTAAAATTAACTATTATACAATTAAATTCAGTTCCTTAATCACAATAGCTGCATTTCCTGTACCCTACAGCCATATGTGGCCTGGGGCTCTTGCAGTGGAGAGTGCAAATGTAGAACATTTCCAACAGGGTCCTGTTGGACCATGCTGCTTCAGAGCATGCTGCTCTGTATATGCATTCTCTTCTACAGATGTTAGCAAAGGAACTCTCTTTAGAACAAAAAGGAACAGCTAAAGGCAAAAGTTGAAAAATGCACATACGAAAATACAAGGTAGCAAGGAAATTTAGACAAGTCCTGTTTAGACAGCTTGGACTTGGTTTTGCCCCAGATTTATCCTATAATTCTGTACCATATTTTTGCTGGCACTTGATTTTTGTTTGGACTCATTTTTCAGGTTTCACAAATATGAATTGAATACCTACAGCACTGTAACTTCTACCTGTTAATGAGAACTACAGCTAGAAATTTCAAATGGTGTTTATTGGATCATATTGTATTTAAAAGCTTTATTCTGGTTTATCTTTAAAATAAAGTGATGGGAGACACATACAATTAACACAATTCTATTATTTCTAATATCTTTAAATATTTCTAAAGGTTAATCCTTAAAAGTTGACAAATTGTCTAGAACACTTTTAAGGATAATTGATGTTGCTCTAAAACATTACTTGCATATATAATCTTGTAAAACTACCCAGAAAGTAGTATAATTTTTTCTCCTCACATATGATGACATGGTCATTTTAGAGTTTATCCAGGCATAACAGGAACCTGTCATTTATTTATGAGCATTCCATTCTCATTCTATATAATTCACATTTAATTATTCAATATATATAAAAGATGCTTGAGATTCCAGAGAAAGATGAGAATTTCACTTGTTCTTATACTGCAAATATATATGTGTATTTAATAATGTCAAAAGCCTAATGCACATCATTTATGAGAAATACAGTGAAAGTGTTTATAAAATGCATTACCTTATAACATATGGGAATTTGTGTGTCTTAATTGTGCATATAACTATTTTGAATGCAGGAAGAGCGAGCTATGCTAGCAAAAGAACTGTCTTCACTTCGGGACCAAAGGGAACAGCTAAAGACAGAAGTAGAAAAATACAAAGAATGTGACCCGCAAGTGGTAGAAGAAATACGTAAGTTTGTACCACAACTTTAGGGTCTTTAACTTTGGTAATGAAAAATACTTTATACTTCTAGTTACCTGGTAACCATTCTCCATGTATATGATAAAGTAACGCCAGTAAAATAGTGTTCTGCTCTGAGTGCTGTCACTTTGTGTTTGTAACATAATAGGAAAATATCGCCTTACTATTTCCATTAAGAAGTCTTAATGTTAAAACATTGAACAGTGATAACTTTAAAATTACAAGCATTTCAAAAGTAAGGAAGGTGGATGGGATAGAAGGATCCAAAGACATAAAATACAAGCTTAGGAAACTGAGGAGTCAGAAAAGGAGCTAATTTAGCCATAAGAACCTTGATTCTATAAAGAAATCCACCA